AGATGCAACTTAAGCCTCAATCTTGCATTATTACCTCAGTCTCCAGTAGATAGAAAGTCAAGTTAGAAAGTTTTTACAAGAATAGAAAATAAGCCAGATCACACAATTATCTCACAATTGCCTTCACAGCAGAGTACACAATAAAAATGGAGTAGAATGAACTGATTCCTTCATAAAAGGAGACTTACCTGAGTCCGAAGAGACTTCATAATCGTCAATTGGTGGCCTTATGGACTCCGGAAACCAAGGCAATAAGACACGTCGCAAAAATAGGCCTTTAAAGAAATCAGGAAGAGTAGTACTTCAATATGAGGAGGCAGGAAACAGTGTATCAAGTATTCTCTTTGCTGCTGTTCGCACTTTCAGATTAACCTTACAAACTTTTATTTCCCATATTCAACTGAAATGTGGCTTTTATAATTGCCAAAAAGGCATACAAAATTATTTTAAATATATAATTATACTACTCTAAATAATTCAGTAGTTTATTTAAATAATAAAATATCGATGGTTTAGCCGTAAAGATAAGAAACAATAATCCTGCAATTTTATTTACATATGTAAATAGTATCGCTATATATAGGGGTATAGCCAGAGCTAATAAATATCCTGTATAAGTGATTAGAAGGTCGACCACACCAGCTGACGGTGGATCTATCTTGGGCTGCCGTAATTTGAGCATACCAGGAGGTTAATGCTGACGCGGCCCTCGAGAAGATCTCGGTTTACGCCTGTCCCTTCACTTGTAAGAAATTAATTGAGTTGAAACCCATTATTTTCATATTCAAGAAAACGAACTGCCTAATTTTTAGCTTATAAGTAGGCTTTCGAGACCACCAGTAGATCTGATATAAGAGATGTATTCCCTCATTTCTAGTTAAGGTGACGAGGGACTTGAAGTTGAATTCTCTCGCCATCGCATCAGTGCGTCTCATGTTTCCATTAAATTTCACACAACCTTGCTTTGCCGTTTCGACCTGGCCAAGGCGTCATCAGCATCCCCAGCGGGACTCGAACCATGCAAGTGGGACGTACAGTCTTAACACGTTAAGCACTAAGCAACGATGCCACGAGTGCCCTTGGTCACAGCGTAAAAGTTACTTACAGACAAGCCTGGGCCTATCCCATATCACATTACTGTGGTAGGATTGCCGACGGGACAAAGTCTTATTTGCTAATACAACCGACTACATTGCTTATTTCAGTATATAAGTAGGTTCTCGAGATTACCAGTAGATCTGCTGTAAGAGCCGATTAACGAGTCCAGCATCACGCTAAACGAGATAGAGGATTTCAATCCCTGGCAGTCTCGGAAACCCAATTTTCGCAACTTGGTCGGAGCGTCAGGGAGACTTTATGGAACGTACCAAGTCCCGTGTCCAGTATTGGACACATGCCCAAACGTTTCGCCGGCATCGTCAGTGAGAGGCGCCATCGTGAGCACAGAGTTACAACTTAAACAGTTTTCTTTTCAACCGTTGTGGCATCATTCCTCAGCCATGCTTTTCGTTCCAGCCTCTAGAACCGCATCTGCTTCTCTCATCCCCGCTTCATATGGCCAATCCCCACGCCAATTCACGCCATTCTGCGCTCTCGTCTCCTCCAATGTCGCCTAAGAGCGTGTCGCTACAAGTTGGTTTAGTGAAAAGTAATCATCTTAACCACCGGTACCAGATACCGTTTGCAGAGCTCCTGGCCTACATTATGCCCCCCCTTTTTTTCCCACCCGCTTGTCAATTGGGCCCTACTAAACATCAAAATCGCGGTTTGCTTGTATGAAATCTGGCTGCATAAGAGTCTTCAATTCCCGTCCTCGAGTACGCCATATTCGAAGAGTTAGAGCAGATTATGCACATGTTCATGCCATTGTCATGTCAGTGCCAGGTTATCCTCCTCTCCCTAGGCTTCAAACCCGTGACTCAATTATCCTCTCTCTCATCCCCCCCACCAATCCCCAATTGTGTCTCGTTCTTTAGGGTCCTGTGTCGGTATTAAATCGTAACCGCCGGCGTGAGAATGCATCGCTTCTCCTTTATCCTTTGAATCACAAAAAGCACACTCCTATCATCTCTCCAGTTGGCATTCCCATCTGACCCTAGGGTACAAGGATGTTCATGTGTCTGTTGGCTGGTATCCGCCGTGGTCAAGCCTGTCACCAGTCGCCTCCCCTTCAGGCACAGACACGATAAATACACACAAACACCGACGCACACACATTTGGCATCTACATTTGGCCCACCTATAGCTTTGGCTTTTAATTTCACATCCCACATCGCAAAAGTGAACCGCCGGGGTACCTTTTTGGCCAATTCCACATCTGACTCCTCTCACTGCAGTCGCCTCTTCTCCACTTCACTTTGCTCCTCATGAACCGCTCTTTGGTGATGTTCCTTTCTGCTGTTCAACAGTTGTCCTGGCTACAAGCGTCTTCTTCTTCATGCATTTGTTGAATCTCAAAGTCTGCTCAAGCAGTAGGCGAAATTATCGCCGATCCTTCCCTCTCCCAATCTCCTCTTCATCAGATTTCTTTGGAAGATGATGTCCACAGCCTCCCTCATCTTCCGTGTCCTGCTGTCTTCGCCACATGAGGCCAGTCTTTCCGCTGCATTCCAGTCAACTGTATGGCCGGTAATGGCGATCTCTTCAGCTTTCTCCGATCTTTCCGTATCCATTTTTCTGCATAGTCGCTGGTGTTCTTTGATCCTTGTGCTGATTGTACTTCCCGTATCTCCGATGTATTTTGGTTCACAGTTCTTGCAGTTTATGCTGTAAACTCCGGAGCAATCCATTTTGTTGACTTATTTCTGTTGTATGGGCTGTTCTTAGAAGGAATCAGAAGTCCTCGGCTCATCATCCTGCGATTCCAATGAACCTGTGCTAAACTTTCGTCTGTACCCTTATGACAAATATCGTCAGAGCAAGAATCTATACTTTACGAAATAGCGCAAAGAGATATTAAACCGAGTGAGACGTTTTGACGAATTCCTTCGAAATGAAAAGTCAAGTCACAATAAGCAATTTGTTCGGTTGTATGAGCAGACGCAAAATTGCTTCGCCGACAGTCCTACAAGAGACATGTGCTATGTGAAAGGCCTAGGTTTACTTGAAATTTACCACAGTCTTTTGACTCAAGGAAACTTGTGGCAGTCTGGCGGAGTAGTTAATGTGTTAAGGCTATACGTTGCACCTGCCCAATTCGAATACGAGTCCCGCTGGGGGTGATAATGATCCCAATTCAGGCCAATTCGTAACTGCAATCCAATCCATTCTGAATGAAAATGTCTTTTGGAAAGTGAGGCTAAATGAATTTAAGAGGAAATGGGATACCTACTCATATGATTGTAGGAAAACTCAACTATCAGTCCTGCATCGCCTTACGTGAGATGTGTTCAATCTATTTCACTTAAGGTGAGAAAGGACTGATAATGGAATTTTCTAACAATTATATGAGTAGAGCTGACGTATTCTCATTCAGGCTGGACTGTAATTTCAATCTCGCCTAGGTCTTATCAACACCCCCAACAGGAGTGGAACCATGACAGTGCAACGTGTGATATCGACATTTTAACCACTACGCCACATTGCCACGAGTGTCCTTGATTCACAGAACAAATGTGCACTTCAAGGAAGACCAGACATTTTCCAATATCACAATCTGTGGTGGGATTTAGGCTGAAGAAAAGTTATATTTGCTAATACAATCGACTACATTACTTATTTTTCGTTCATAAGTGGGGTTTCGAGACTACTAGTGCAGCCCACCATGTATGTGAACACCTTTTGGGAAAGCAAGGTTATGTGAAATGCAATGGAAACGTTAGCTCTACTCATATCGTTGTGGGAAAATTCAACCATCAGTCTTTCACCACCTTAACAGAAATATGGTGAATACATCTCATATAAATCAAACTGCATTTCTTTTCGAAGGTATAAAGACCAAGATGGTGTGGCCTTTTGTGCAAACCCAGAAATGTTATGGTACTGCTGGCTTTGTTTAGGTTCAATGTTGAACCACAAACGTATGTGGGTTGGCACACAAACCAATATGACCGAGTTGCGAAAACAAGGTCAAACAACTTCTATGCATTTCTTTTATTAGTGGGTTTTCGAGACTAACAGTATATCATATTTATGAGGTGTATTTGGCCTATTTCCTTTAAGGTCCCCATGTCATCTTAAATGGAATAGTGTAAATACACCCCAAAACTCAAACTGTGTCAGACCAACGGCTAGTCCAAGGTAGTCCTTTGCTGAGATCAGCCTACAAATCTTTTCATCAAAGGCTTTCGTACAAGATGAAAGTCGGGCCATAAACCATATTTTTAGGAGTGCAACCAACACGAAAGTATACGCTCAATATAGCAAGAGCATGTTGCTTTATAGCACTGGTCCGATCTTGTTTTTGCAACATAATCGGAGCGTCAGTGAGACCTTGTGGAACGCACCCAGTCTGTATCCTCAACAAGAGTATTCGTGATTTCCAGCACTGAACCATCGGCAGGGTACATTCCCAAACAAGGTCTCCCTGAGGATCCGATCAAGTTGGGAAAATAAGGTCGAACCAGCACTACAAAGCTAAAGGAGACTGCGACCAAACAGAAGGCCACACCAGCTTGGTCATAACATCTACGAGCATGTGGCCTTGATTAACGTAATATAGAATTGAATAAGCCACTAAAAGGGTAAATGGCGGAAAATTGGCCTTACTTAATTCGCCCTCGAAAGAATTGAACGACGGGAAAGCCTGCAACATCCATTTGGACGCACCGGAGGGATTCAGAGAGCTGTTATGCAACGAAAGAGATAAAATGTTGGTTTGTCAAAAATGCCAGAATATAAAAGAAAGAAAACGAAGCCTCAATCAGTTGCATAATAGGCTAGAATGTGAAAATGGAAATATGATTTTTAATAAAAACTCACTGCACCGCGATCCTTTAAACAAATTATCTCCCTCTGGGCAT